TAATATAAAGAATACAAGGCTATCCTTAGGTATCTATTCCTAAAGAATCCTAAATATTGTTTACAAGAATAAAGGGAGAGAGGTGTCTGTTGCTTTTTCTAACTTGGGGAAATTAGTGGGGTTTATATATCTGTGAGCTAAGCGACTAAGCGACTGAGCGACTAAGCGACTAAGTGACATGTTAATTATAATACAGAATAATAATAATAATATAATAATAATAAATAATAAAATAATAAACTAATAATTAATTCGTTCTATAACACTATAATTTTATTAGGCATTATCTGGCTACTTCAAGAGTGCCCAAGTATAGTTATTGTACTAATATTTGCCAATAAGTTTCATATAAAGTGCTATCTTTATTTTTATTGTTTAAAGGATATTATAAGAGAGTTATAGTGACCTAATTGTATATATATTTGCAAATTAAAAGTTTTGATTGATTGATTAATAAAAACAAATTATTTGCTCTGAAAATACCCATTGTTAAACTAATCTGTAATAAGTCTTTCAGATCTAAAATAGTTTTTATTTACCTAGTAGTTATTTTTATTTTTTATTTTTTGATATTAAATAATCTTTTTGGCCTGAAAATATTTTATTAAATAGATAATAAACACTATATACTGTACAGTATTTATAACAAAAATATTTCAAGCCACACATACACTTTTGGTATCTAATTTAAGTAGTCTACTTGAAGGTTTTACACTATCTGCCATACCTATTTAAACATTTGTTTTTGATCTCTATTTTATAGTTATTTAATAGTTGGGTTTATATATAATATATACTGTAGAATTTAGATAATTATTTTAAAGTTAGAGTTAGGGTTAGTTAATGGTTAGAATTGTATAATAAAATTAATGTTAATAAAATTTAAGTATACTTACGTTTTTGATTGGCCGCTTACGTATCATGTGATCCGTGATAAAAATATTATATAACAGGTGTAACAAATAAATTTCTCCATATAGATTTTATTATAAAATTCAGTTAAGTTATAAATACGTACCTCTTTGAAAACTAAACTTTTTGACCAATTATATATATAAGAATGGACTGTTCGGAATAAATAGAGTTGACTATAGTTTTAACTTTGTATAATATATACTAAAATACACGTCACTCTGGTTATATCGACATTAGTAAAAAAATGATATAGTGAGTTATACCGAAAAAAATATCGGTATAGAAAGATTTTACTATACCCATATATAATACTGTATAACAAAAATTTTACTATAAATACTATTGCGAAAATAATCCTCTGAGGCTATGTTGATTTTGTGAATAAAAATTAAATTTACCGGCCATCTAGTTATCCAATTTGAATGTTCTTTTTTTTATTTTGTAGAGCTTATTTAGCTCCATAAAATAAAAAAAGCTCGTTCAAATTGGATAACTAGATGGCAGGTAAATTTAACATTTATTCACATAATCAACATAATCTCGGAGGGTCATTTTCCTAGCAAAGATCCCATATATCTATATATTATCCGGATATGGCTTTTATAAAAAGAATACGTACGTATACGAAACGAATATCAGAATATCCCTCTACATTTCTATTATTTTTAAACTTCACAATTTTGATTGGCTAATTAACACTCAAAATTCGTGTAACCATTGGACGTTTCTACAGATATATTCTGATCAAATGAAAACCAAAAAACCATCCAAAACTCGTTATCTTTGGGAACAGCAAATATACTGCTTTGTTTCTAGCCTCTAAATACTCTTTTAAAGATCCAGTTCTACCGTTCGAAAGTTCAACACAAAGCATTAAGAAACCTAAAACACAAAAGTCGAATAATATAGTAGTTCACTGGATCAAGGTGTGTGTGCATTTCATTAACAAAATTGGCTGACTGAATGATGTTTTGAATTTCTTCACACGACATTAGTATGGCTTAATTAAGCATTCTAATAAATGGGTATATAATAATGAGCTTTTTAACCCTGACAGTCAAAAATAATAATAAATAAGCACTTCGATCTATTATTCTATAATAATTTTACGCATTTATTTTCTTATAGGAGAATGAAATAAATAACCTTTTGAAGATATGCTTGTAGCACAGTCTGTAATGGTTTTTCTGAAACTTTGAAAGTCTTTGTAACCTATTCGAATTTTCGAAACTGATTAGAGTTATGATTTCGGTATGATTTTAACATTATGAAATAAATACAGTATAAGCAAATTTGAACTGATATCTAATCAATACGTAAATCGAGACTCAATATAGACGTGAATAGGCTGTTTTATGTGAGGCACATTCTCTCGGCATCTCATAAGATGGATTATTTAAGTGTACGCCGTAGGTTTTACTAATATTTTTTACGTTTTACTTTTAAATATTAGAATGTGGGGTAACCTTAAGCAGTTAATTATGGTTATAGAAAATAGAGGCTTATGAATGTTCATGACGCTATTTATCCTGATACTATACTTTTTAGTAAGAGGTTGATCGTTCGTTTTAAGGAGCGCTGTTTTGCTACAAATAATAAGCATTTAAATGAGTGGGTCATCTTTGAACGTGGTCATATTTGACACAATAAAATAATGTTATTCTTCGGACTAATCATGTCATTTCATATAGGAAAATTACGGTAGCAACCATCATGAGTCATTAAATTCGTCATGCGTAACCGATATGAGAATAGATCACCATTAAAAGTAATGTAAATATTGCTTAGCTGCACAGCCAAAATTCGTTTAACCCCATGACCTTAAGTTCGTTATCGTAGTGTGCCACACTAATAGATTTATCAACGAAATCTTTCGTTTTTCTATCTCTTATCAGTTTTTGGGACGGATTGACATTTTTAATGCATGTTTATAGTGTAAGCATTATGAGGAGCACGTAACAGCGATTGTTCATCTCATAACCTTTTATGTATGTAATATTTGAATCATTTTCTTTGTTGCGTATGCATTTTTTAATGACTCATAATCATAATACAGTTATCGTATGATCGTTTCTATTATATATCGACTTGCATAGATGCAGAAAATTGCAAATGCGACGACAGTGTGACGTTTCTTTTTTAAATGTCAAAAAATTTAAGCGAAATAATAATAATACTGTAATAAAAAAAATATTATATTTTGAATCGGATAGATAGATATATTTATTTACCAAAGCAATATGCAAAGTGTGTACATCAACTATCTAAACAATCACTATACTTCAATGAATGGAACAGGTGAACAGGAATTAAATTAAAAAATAAATAAAAATAAATAAAAATAATAATCAAAAATCCTTTATTAAATGTCAGGGAATTCTTCCAACCTTTCACTGTCGTGGCCTAAAGGGAAAAATATCCTTGTGAAATCTAATGCTACTGCGGCGATGTCGTCTATATAACGCATTCACCCTTGCATTTTGACCTCGCGATTTACAGCACCTGGGCATAAATATTTATATGATTTGTTCATTTCATGTTTACTTGTGTCTTCTTTAATGTTTGCATTACGCTGCCATTTACTAAAAAAATAATAAAATGACATCCAAATAAAGCGATTAAACTTTGTGACTAAAAATACTTAAATGACATATAATATACACACGCATATAAGCTCGGCCTATAAAACCATATAGGACCTCATGCGTCCTCCAAATAACATTAGTGGTGATAAGACCTGTGATATACGTTATATCCTTTTTTCATTATGTATCGGGCTATCTTTTTTACACATAAACATTAAATTTTAACTGTATTTAGCTTAACCGCTTATGGGTTTTAAACTGTATTATTTACCCGACGTGACGGTTTTATTGAAACCTTTAGTAATGTTATACGTACGTAGTCATCTGAATGAATATTATTAATTACGTAACTGCGGGATGCCTATTTTGGAATAAATATACAGTATTGTGGTCATGGGACATGCATAAAGTTTTCTTGGAAATGAACGTTTTGCTTTGTTCTATTTGTACGCGTTGTGGCGTAGCTATATACATACATACTAGTATAAAAGACCTACCACATTCCCTATCTCTCATCTTCAAATAAACAATAATAAATAATAATAATAAAATAATATTATACGCTTATTATATAGAATAATATTGTTTCCTACACGTTTATTATTTCTACCTTTTAATTCTCTTTACCTTTTTTTTATTTGCCCTCTTCGACTTATTACCACTTTTAACCAACTATCATTGAACGAGAAATGGCCAACGAACATTGGGAAGAGATTAATGAATGGGATATTGAAGAAGACATAGAACTAGCTCAACGTATTACTGTCCACACAGTTCATCATTCTTCTGTGAGTGATGATGAAAGTGAAGATTCCGAGTATCAGCTCGTACAAGCACATAAGCATCCAACTTATGCTGCGGCAGCAAAATGGGGTGGAAGAAACAAGAAACCAAATTTAATAAATGTTAATGATGAAATCACTAATAACGAAGTAGAGGAGACCGATAAAAAGAAAGGTGTAGTATTGGGCGCCCCAATAGCTACTTCGAAAATTCAAACACCAACTCCTCCAAATTCTACCGCGTCCGCGGAAACCTCGAATGCGGAAAATAATATACTAAAAGATGACCATAACACAGACCACGAAGATGTTAAATCCACTTCATTCGATCCATTACAAGTTATAGAATCTTCGGACCGTGAAACGTCTAAATCTTCTACACGTCGCCATAATACAAAAGTTCATAAAATGCAATCTAAACGGCTACTAAATCAATTAGTTAATTCAACTGATTTGGAATTGAACGAGGGTGCGGTTCGTGGCGATACTAATAGAGACCCGGAATTTACCAAATATAAATTGTTAAAGAAGACTATGAGGGCAAAGAACAATGGAACTAGTAAGTCCAAAGCTGAAAGAAAAAATGGAATGGAAAAATTGCGTGTTGAAATTATATATTGATTGTAGAAAGATAATTATAAACTTGTAAAGGCACGTGATATATTTGCTTAAAGTCACAGCCTTTTTTTAATGCAATATAATATATACATAATGTTTTTCATGTATTGTACACTTTCCCTAAATTGATTTACCTATTTCATAACCGATAAAAAATTGATCCACCAGAGGATCCTGCTTTGTGTAATACTTTAATTCTAAGTTGTCACGTGATGAATTTATCATGTGATTTATGATTTATCAGCGAAGCTGGACTTTAAAATTAAAAGCTTACTTTCATATTAAACTTTATCACACTTCTGAATCCTAATATATATATTTATATATTTTTCGGCCTAGCTGATTTTTTTTTTTTTTTTTTTTTTTTTTTTATGGGATGGAATTTATATAGATGACTCTTTCGACCTAATTAATTACAATAGTTTACATTTTACATTTTATTGTCTTATTTTACACAAGACATTAAAAAATACATGTATATTATTTAGATCAAGTGACGTAAAGTATGAAATAAATATAATACAATTATGTAGCTATATGAATGACATGAAGTTTACGCTATTACAATAATATAATAAAATATATATTATATGCAAAAAATTCAACACAGTCTATGCTCGCAAATGAGATCAATTAATGCACTACTAGTCTGTAATTTGCTTCTTGATTTCTATTAAAAAAATAGTGCAAAGTTTTATTAATTATTTATTAAAACTGGTATCGAGTAATATATATATATTACCAGAAATAATGTCCAAATAAGCTCTACAAGCTGGTGAATCCGGATATTCATCAAGAAAAGATATGCCCATATCACATGCTTTTCCTAGAAAATATAAGATGTTGAGTAATTATTCTTAATAAATTCAAATATTTTTTAATACTCACCAATCCTAGGATCCAGGGGAATTGATCCCAAATATTTAACATTCAGATCTTCAGCCATTTTTTTTGCTCCACCTGTTGTAGGTGCAAAAATAATCGATTCACCCTATACATGCACCCATGAAAAAATATATATATAAACTTCAAAAAAAAAAAAAAAAAAAAATTCAAATAATTAAATAAATGAATAAATACCCTACAATTCGGACAAATAAATCCACTCATATTTTCAACAACACCTAAAATCGGTATTTTTACTTTCTTACAAAAATCAATTTCTTTTCTAACATCTTGTAATGCTACCTCTTGTGGTGTCGTAATTATAATAGCACCATCTATTTCACTTTCTTTAAGATATTGCGCAATTGATAAATGTTCATCGGATGTACCGGGTGGTGTATCAACCAGCATAAAATCTAAATCTCCCCAATCTACATCTTTTAAAAATTGTTTGATTATCCCTTAAAAAGAAAAAACAATTTAACATCGCAATACCTAAAAATTGATGCTATAGAATCTACAATGCACTTGTTGGATGACTTTTTATATATTTAGAATGAATCATAATATACCATTTTTTTTGGGTCCACGCCAAATAACTGCATCATCTGGGTCTGATAACATGAATCCTATTGACATAACGCCTAAATTATCTTGTACATAAACTGGCGACCATCCTGATAAGCTTTGATGAACTTGTTCACCCTCTAACCCCATGATTTTTGGAATTGATGGTCCACATACATCAATATCCATTACTCCAACCTTAATTATAAAAAATTTATCTTAAAATTATCCCATAGAAGTTTTCTATATTTTCACTTAATTATCTAACTCACCTGAATACTTTCTTCACTAGCAAAGGCAAATCCAAGTTGCGCCGTAAAAGTACTTTTACCAACCCCTCCTTTACCAGATAATATAAGTATTTTATGTTTAACCGAATTCATTCTTTCTTTAATAAATTGTAATGCTAAAACATATGTATGCTTTGATCATTAAAACTGTTCTGGTCAACGGCATAAAGAACAATGCTTTGATTCGATCAATACCTGGATCAGGTCCCTTTGGTGCAGTAGCGCATATCTTTTGATTAGGGCAGCCTTCACATGCTGAGGCTTTTCCTGCTTGTTCAGTGCTTGGCCCCTACAGTAGAAAGCTATTTAGTATTATTCGAAACCTAAATTTTTGTTTGAATTCTTCTCATTACCGGACAGTGTTCTGGTGCATTTTCGGGTTTATCGATAACTGCCATAATGTTAATATTTGAAAAAAAAAAAAGAAATGTATAATTAACGATAAAAAATCGGCAGTCACATGATGATCATCATGCATTATCGACATTCTATTGGTCAAAATTTTATAAAATTTTTAAATGTTTGAACGAAGGTATCTCGACATCTACCTGACTAAATTTGACAAAAATTAAAATTTTTTAAATATGCAAACCTGTTTAATTAAAATAAAAAAATTTCTATCGAAATTGGTCAGATGGTTGTCGAGATATTATTTATCAAAGTTTTAAAATTCTACAGACCTGTTGAATTAAAATATCAAATTTGGTTAGATGGTGTCAAGATATTATTAATTAGTGTTTCGATCTTATTCTTTAAGAGCTATTTAGATTAAATTCGGTTTCTCCTTAATGAATCCGGTTGATATGGACCAATCCAGATTCAATTAGTGAATTCGGATTTTAAAAAAAATAAATTAAGATTCAGTGCTAGTAGGGCATGATGATGAAAAAAGCCAATTTTCGGCTTTTCAAAATCGGCTGATCATTTCTTCTAATAATGATTCACGCATAAACTTTAGTTGCTAAAGTTGTTCTTTCTGTATATACTGTGCCATAACTTCTTATGTAACATTAAATTTACGTGTCATTAGAGAATATAGCGCAAGTAATATACTCAAATAATGTATTTAAATCAATGAAAAGCATTATACGTAGCATTGAATTTTTTAACTAGCACCATAAAATAACATTAATACGGTGTTATTGACAGAAATCTGGAACACTCAATTGGAATTTTAGATTTTCCAATATTCTGATAAAATGGAGTAATTATTACTTATTTACACAATCGTTTATCATTAAATATTTATTATTTTTATCACCAGGTATTCCTATTTAATCAGAAAATAGGATTTTTTAAATAAGTTAATCTTTATTTGTAAATTGGATATGCGCAGTAGGCGCAGTGCCGCTCTGCGCATATTTTAATTTTGCTTTACAGTAATATAATTTATATAAATAAAAAATTTTTTGTGCATATAATTTTAAAGTTTGCGCATATATCATTCATACGGTATAATACGTAGTGCTTGCGCCAATAAATTTTTTTTGAATTTATATAACACTATTTATAACATTTCAGATCACCTAAGATCCTAAAAGACCCTATATCTAGAGGCCTGATCCGATAAATGGTATACGTATGATATTCGAATATTCAATGAATATTTGAATATCCGAATATATAATTGTTTCACTGAATTGAATATTCGAATATAAAAATTTTTCACTAAATAATTTAATGAATATATACTACCTAAATGCAAGATTGGTGTCATACAGTATGAATCATCCAGGGCGACCATAAAAAGTGCAGTAACGTGACCTGTAGCGCAGCCAAACCAAAACTGCACACAACTTTATATACAACTACAGCTATTCACAAGAAAAAAATATTCGCGATATAACTTTACCACGAACAGGCCTAATTTCTTTTTTACTTAATTTCCGGTCAAATTAGAATTTTGAAAATCATCGGCCTAAGCTAGATTAATGCAGGCCAAATGTCATGATCACGTTACTGCACTTTTTATGGTCGCCCTGGATGATTCCATACAGTATATCATGCTCAATTATATATACTGATTGGTTAGCAATGCTAATAATCATGAGCCCAAAGTAGATAAATCCTTTATTAGCTAGATATCGATTTATTTATTTTAATGTCATTTGTTAGCTTGTGTATTTAAACTCTTAATTATTCAACTTACTGTTCCGAATCAACAACTCTATTTCATGATCATCAATATTCGATGAATATTCAGTGAATATTCGAATATTCATTTGAAATTTGCTGATGAATATTCGGATATTAAAAAGATTGAACGAATGAATATTCGAATACATATTTTTCGACCGGATCAGACCTCTACCTATATCAAGATATCATTAATATTTGAGTCTTGTTCAATGAATATATAACTAAGAGCATTCTATTATCCAATTATTGACAGAAAATTTGACTATAAGAATCTGTTAGATCTGGTGGCAATACTTCCATGATTTTTGTTACCTAGCCAGGTAACTTTTTTATAAAAGTTTTTCTATAATAACATATATACAGCCTTATAATATGATATCTAACACGTGAAAGCTCTACTCCAGTTATGTGATATAATTTAAAAGTACACAATACAATGACAATTCGAATGCTTGTTAAATCAACATTTGTTGATTCTATTCTTCTTATCTGGTTAGTATATTAACAATAAACTTGTTATGATGTAATAATAGAAGATGAAGAGTCAAGTTTTTAAATTGATGAGTATAACATTATAAGAGCAGAAGTTGCATAGAATTCACAAACTCGCATCCCTTAAACCGTCAGAATAAGCACTCATATGGAGTGCCTCATATTAAAAAGGCCCATTTGGGCATATACCTCATTTGAGATAATTAAGTTTAATTGTTTGTTTTGATTTTTAGACTGATCCGGGATTAAGCAAATTTCATGATTGATTGATTAAAGGTAGCAGGTTACTATTGGGTAATCTCATAATGTGTTTGGCCTTGGGCAGCTTTGTGTAATTTTCTTTTACATTATCTCCATTTTTTATTATGCAAATTGACTTTCATTTATAATTGAAATATGTTAATCAAGTCATAATTTACCTGGATCTATTAAAAACTCATTTTTCAAAAAATTTCAAAATGGGTCTTTTTAATATGAAGCATTCTATATATAAGCATTTAAATTTAAAATAGTAGTTTTTTTTTGGTATTAAGGTGATCTCTTTGGCCTGGGGACTTTTTATTAAAGTTATTATGGTAGTTTATAATGTAATTACTGTATATTCTCGAAAATAAGCTACTCTGAAAATAAGCTACCCCCTCACTTTTGAGCAAAAAACTAAGAATCTTCTCTTACTTGAAAATAAGCTATCTTCAAATTTTTTAAAAATTTTTAACAGTCGTTATATATAAAAGTTAAAATTGTACTAAGTAAATATATATTTTGAACTTAATAAAAGTTGTTCAAAATTTAAAAATACATATATAGAGTGAAGTCAATAGAAAAGGAACAAATTTTTTCTAAGTAAAAGTTTTCTTGATTTTAAGCTTAAATATCTTGGCAATTATTTTATCAAATTTAATAATTTTTTTTATTTTAATTTGTTATAACTTCAAAATTAAAATAAAAAAATTTTGAGCAAATTTGATTAATTAGTTGTTGAGATATTTTAATTTAAAAATTAAAAA